TGATGTGGTAAACATTTGTCTGAAGTTTCATCAAAATTCTTCAAAGGGTTGAAGAGTTACAGAGCGGACAGGATTTTCAATGTTAATGTCACTGTGACCTTGACCTTGGAGCCAGCCATGCGGAACATGCGTTCTGCACGTCATCTTGATGTGGTAAACATTTGTCTGAAGTTTCATCAAAATTCTTCAAAGGGTTGAAGAGTTACAGAGCGGACAGGATTTTCAATGTTAATGTCACTGTGACCTTGACCTTGGAGCCAGCCATGCGGAACATGCGTTCTGCACGTCATCTTGATGTGGTAAACATTTGTCTGAAGTTTTTCATCAAAATTCTTCAAAGGGTTGAAGAGTTACAGAGCGGACAGGATTTTCAATGTTAATGTCACTGTGACCTTGACCTTGGAGCCAGCCATGCGGAACATGCGTTCTGCACGTCATCTTGATGTGGTAAACATTTGTCTGAAGTTTCATCAAAATTCTTCAAAGGGTTGAAGAGTTACAGAGCGGACACAATTTCGTTTGACGCCCGCCCGCCCATCCGCCCATCCGCCCAGCCGCCCATCCGCCCGCCCGCCATACCCCAATCTAATAACCAGGATTTTCAAAATTGAAAACCTGGTTAATAACAAATCTATTTTCAATAGATGTCATTCAATTATACCTCTACCGGTTTCACAATATTATCAGGAGGAGGATTTTATGTTGACAATATCTGTATAGTCTTAAACTTGCGTTTCTTCTTCTGCGTCTGGCAAAGTCAGAATAAAAAAATGATTACTGAGTTGTATTTTGATTATTGTAATCTGTTTTAGTAAATTCTTTTTCTTACTAACTTAAGACAAGCACATGGAATAGTTTATTCATCGTTTTTTTTTAGAATTCAGAGGATAATAGATTTCAGCCCCTATAATGTATAATATTATGGCTAGATTCTTTTTCATTTTCTTGCATTTTCAACGTATTATCTACCTATATCAATGCATAATTTATCACTTCAGCACAGTCAGACACCTAGCCGTCCTAGTTTCATATTTGATCCTGGATCGCGAAAACTTTTCCCACCAGCAAACCTAGATGCTGAAAAGACAACATCCTTTGCTATAGAATTCAGGTATCAATATTTTATAAAATGAAAAGATTAGACTAATGAACCATTTACTTATTGCAATTCCTTTAAGTCAAGCTTCTGTTTTATCTGTTTTACTTGATGTATCTGAAATAAAAAAAACACAACAGCCTCAAAATGGCATTCAGTGAGATAAAACATAATATGCAGAAAGCAAATAAATAGAAGTAACAATGTAACATCCGTCCAGCATGTGACGTAACGATCGATATTTTATTGTTTTAGCGTAACGGATGGGACGTCTACAGTCATAAGTCCAGTTTTGACAATAAATATACAAGATGTTAACGAACATTCACCAGAATTTAACCAAACTTCATACACCGCATCTATATATGACACAGCCTCAAATGGTTATGTATCAAACATTAAAATTAGCTGTATCTAAAAACTATGTGATCTTAACTGGTTTTTTAGGGCGCACCAATAAAGTAAAGGTCATAAGATGCCGATGCAGGCAAGATAGTTTTGGCAAACCTCAGGTGCTTCAAAACGAACTTCATTGTTTTCTCGTTTAAGGCACACGCATTTTTTTACTTGGGGACCATATGCCGCTTTTCAAGGAATGGCACTTACATGTCACATTGAAGGTTCCATGATAACCGCCATATGAACACATCTGCGGATGTTTCAAAATTCCAAACTGTACCCGTTCATGTTTAATGTTGAATTCTGCTTAAACCGGGGTAGGGGGCATGTACGGTAGCTTGCACTTTCCAGTACCGTCCATGAACAGGCTTAATCAAACCGAGCCTGCAACATTTTCAAATTTGCCGTGTTGGGCTTTCTTTAGGGATTCTGTTGTATCTCTATTTCAAAGCAACCACATGGGTCAAAACCACCTCATCTACTGGAGATGCAGTTAGATGCTTACGATCACGCAGATATAAACAGTGCCTGAAATTCTTATGCCACAAGGATTTAAGGCAACATATCAGCCAAAAGGGACGTGAAATGTAAATTAAATGGTTTTTTGACATCATCACTTTAACTGTACTAATCGCCAAAACGCAAAAGAACCAAAAGCTTGCTCAGGTATTTGGCTAATGAGTAACTTTCTAGAAACTGCTACAGGACACCAAAATTAAACAATGCGTCACCTAAGTGCAGTAACGGGTAAAGTCCTTCTAAATTTTATAGGAGTTAACCACTTATTACTCTAAAGTGACCAATGGTAGCGTAAGTAGGTTTAATGGAAATTTTATATCATTTTTTCAGAAGTGCTTATAATATGTGACAAAAATACTACACCCTAAAAGCAGATGCTTTGAAAATTAACAAAAGACGTGTTGCTTACTTCTTGTCATTCATTAACAAAAATATCATGTTCATCGTTCTGAAATTGCAATAAACGTCGAAATGAAAAACTTATTTGAAAATAATGATATACAATGTATTATTACTTACATGGTTGTGCGATAACTTTTACTGCAGTGTCAACAATTTTACATATTATAAAGTTTACAGAAATCTCACTTTTAAAAATGCTTTAAAAACAGTGGACGTTTTATTACATTAGAAATGAACTGTCAGCATATAGATCTATCAAGTTTTTGAAAGTCACATGCAAAAAATCTAAAGACCTTCAAATAAAACATATTTTAGAACTTTTTGATAAACTAATCGTTCCAATTCTAAATTACGGATGCGAAATCTGGAATTTTGCTGAAGAAAAATGACGTACCTGATATTAGGCTAAATTGCGCCTGATTTGTTTCTGTACTTATTTTTAGCGCGTCATCTACCTACCTACCTACATACCTACCTACTTATATATCTATCTTTTATAACTATGATGGTGTAATGAATATCTGATTTTTTATTTGTTTTGTAAACAAATAAACTTGCAGATGAAAACGCATGTTCACTTAAGATATATTTTCCGTTTGATTTTTCTTATCAAACTAGAAAAAGTAACTCTAATTTTTTCAGCTGGGGACGCATCAACATTTTCAGTTAATGCTACATCTGGAGAGATATCCTTGACCAGAGCGGGTAAACTTAACGCAGCTTCAGCACCTTCTTATACTTTAATTGTACAAGTCTCGGACACGTCAACTACAGCTTCAGTTACAATAACAGTTCTAGGTAAAAAACAGAATAAAACATCTCTTTTATTTCAAGACTATGTTTTTTAACATTAATTATATCGTCATCAGGAAGTGTGTTTACGGTCAAAATGAAATAAAAAGGCAGGTAAATAATTAAAATATTTCCAATGACTATCTCCTGTTAATTGTATCGTTAATAAACAAAAAAGTTATCGAGTAGCTAGTTTTTCCCTACTGTACAAGTAATGATCATGAATTGTGATTTTGGGAAATATCCCAATGTTTTGCAGGGTTTATAATGTCGGTCGAATGTTTAAAGCCTGTTCTTGAAAATGTCATATCACTTAAAATGATAGCCTACAAGAAGTAAGATGATCAGAACTATCAAATGGATGAAATACAAAAGGTTTATAATAACATAATGGTTAATGGATAATTGGCACAATCTTGTTGCCGAATACCATGTCTACCAAATGCGTGTGTGAACTCCGGCGCATGCAGCAAGTCAAAAATAGCTTACACATGCACTTATCATACTGCACAACGGGTATGCCAGAAATTCGTTTTAAACTATTAACTCGTATCATTGTCCTCGGATATTTCGTTGTGGGTGTTCTTTAAAGTTTCTTTTTTCTATGACGGTGCCTCTTAATCACCAACACAATGCAAATTTTACTTAATTTTCAATATGGCGCCCGAATCAATCATTAACTGTTATTAGTGTCACTTATAAACAAGCATGCACCAATTTAATGTTTCAGATGATCCATGTTTACCAAGCCCTTGCCAGAATTCGGGAAAATGTTTAGTATCAGGAACTACTTACCAGTGCCAATGTACTTCTGGCTATTCTGGAGAAAATTGTTCGAATGAAGCAGGTATTCTTCGGTTTTAAGTCCGCAGTGGGATTAAGATTCATACTGTCAGATTCATATAAAAAATTTGAACTGTTTTCTGAATCAGTTGCTATATGAGCCAAAGAAAATTAGAAGTTGACATCTGTCACATCGTGTCTAAATACGATAATTACAAATGGATATTAACATTTTATAATAAATACGATTGAATTTTATATTTCTATCGAGTTAAGGAAAAAGTGATATGACAAAATTATAGAAAGAAAGACATTTATTAATAATTCAAAAGAAATCAGAAACACTCAAAAATGACTTGTTATCTTTATTCATATTTTCTTTTTAGAAAACTTAATCCTGTTACCAAATTTAATAGGACTTGCTTTAACTATGGTATGCCTTATCTTAGTTACAACCTTTGCAGTGTACTCCTTTACGAAATTTATGTAAGTACTTTTTAATGTTTTGTATCTTTTACTATGATAGTTTAGAGTCATTGTACCTATATTACATCTTTACCAAATTGATAGATGATAAAAAAAATGTTAATTTATTGTTCAATAGATCTTATCAATAAAAAAATCCAGAAAAAAAAATACATTTTGAAATCTGATTTATGAAAGAAAAATGGAAAATGTTTGGAAGGAAGTTACATTTATTGCACTGTCTTATATGTAGAACAGTTTAACCTCCCAATGATATTTTGTCATAACGTCCTTACATATTTACCATGTACAGTACTCTCAAAATAAATCCCAAGATGGGAACGGATAATGATAAAGTTGAAAAGAAAGAAGAAACTCACTGTATCACCTCACCTCATAACACAGGTTTTTTTCTGGTATTAAACTGAAACATTAATGCATCAGGTAGTCATATATTTTCACGAGATATGGTGCTAAAGTGGACAAAATACAATCAATAACACAGATAGGTATCAACCAGGTGTCCATTTAACGTTTCCATAGGTTTGTCTTAAATACATTAATAGTAAGAGGAATAAATATTGGCAATTAAGCGACCAAAATATTGACAATTAAGTGCTGTTGTCATTAAATACCGGTATTCCCAGTTTAAGAAAAAAACGCATGAAGAAAAATTTCCAAATAAAACTTACGAAACTTTTTCCACTTTAAAGAGCGTTTTACGTAAGACTAACTTCGTTATGTAAATTTATTGAGGGTTTTCCCGTAAACTTTTAATATAAGACTAACGTTCACAACAATTGCCGCTTATTTACATTTGATGTGTCAGTATTTTATCACGGTATCAGTAGGCCTATAGTTAAAGGTATGTGCATTTCTGTCTTTCTTGTATATCTTTTTTTCCTTCTTTTTTAAATCTTTTCTTATATTGTATTACAATTTGTTTGTCAACCTATAAAAAAGGAAAATATGGCTGAAGATTGGGATGGTGCGTGAGACATAACTTATTAAAGAAGACAAACAAAATATGTGTAACATGATTATCTTTAAACTTAAAAGCAATTGGACACTTCAAAAAAATGTTTTTAATACGGGACACATTTAAGCGGGAGCGCCGAGATAATTATGTGTTAAGTAGGTAAAACAGTCAGATCTGTATTAAGAATATGAACTTGAATAGGGGTCCAGGTGGATGTCGGCTCGTTTATAAATACATGTACATGTAGTTGTTTGTTTGTTTTTTATCACATGCTGAAACAATTATAATCTGTTCTCAAACTAATTTATACTCGGCCGATGTAAATGCAGACATTCTTTCGGACTTTTGTATTCATAAAGAAATGTTAGTGTAATTATGTATTAATGACGGTTATTACTGCAAATTCAAAGACATGATCGCAAACAGTTATACATGGGTCTCAGTAAGGTAAGTTCAACAAACTATTATACGAGTTGATTGATGCATTGGTCATTCTTAACGGTTAAATTTCAGTAAAACGTCTGTTTGTAGTAGAGAAACTCGCATCTCTCAAAGGCGTCGTAAAAAAATGATTTCACACGCATATCATGGCCAAGCTGGCCCATGCGAACTAATTTGGCGAGAAAGGCAGGATAATCTGTATGTTGGAGAAGGAATTGTTTAACGAAAGTTTAGGACAATATAGCATGCTATGTTTTTAAGAAATATTCTCTTTACATTGTATATATGTGTTGTGTATAAATAAATCAACTGTACTCAGTAATAAATTAATATCTTCTCGCGCTTTAAAACCGATAGTTTCACATTGCTGTAATATAGACCCAAGGTATATTTTAAGTAATAAAAGTTGTGCGTTTTAATTTATGACTTGTGTTTTATACTTGTTTTATATTCCTACTCAACACTTGTATTTTACCCTAAATACATCTGGTAAATATTTTACATCTGCCTGATCAGTGGAGATAACTGTGGCTGATACACTTCACTTCTCTCGCAGTGGTTACTTTTCCTGATCAATACGAATGAAGTACAAAATATGTACTGTAATACGAACGAACGGTTCGTTTTTATGAGAGTTTGAAATATAAAGCGGCTGTTGTAAATTCTTAAGTTAATATTCATTCTAAGAGGGGTAGATGGGTGTGATATGTTTTAAACATTAATACAAGCAGACCACTCCCTTTGATAGCGGAAAAACATAAATATACACTATTCTGCAAGCAATGTAATATTATAGTTCACTATATAAGTACCAAATAAAGCTTTCCGTTATCAATTTTTGCCGATGGATAGGTTCTGGCCCACTTGAATAAAATGAATACATATTCATCACGGAATACGTAATAGTTATAGTACATAAAACGAGTTAGTTACGAGGATATAACACTAGCTGAAGAGACATCGAGGGATGTTTCTGCTAAAAGAAAATGTCGAGGCCGTTAGGCCGGGACGATTTTTTTTACAGAAACATCTTCAGAAAAAAAGAACATGTGAACTTCTCTCTATTGTGTCCTTTCATGGAAACCCCAGATAAAATGAACCAATACCGTCTTATGCCGCCATAAGCAACCATACAGCTACTTATAATAAGGCAGTTGTTTGAAGTTATTTTCGCTGCTGAAAAAAAAAGAAAAAAGAAAAAAAAGATTATAAAATAAGATATGCAACCCTAAAACATTTAAAAACGTCTAATATTAGAGACGGATTATAAACTGGTACCTTGTGGAGAAATTAATATTGATTCAAGATTTAAGGACTTTTCAAGCGCAAATTATTCATTCAGCGGATGTACCTTTTTATATTAGCAGTTGTATATATGAGAATAAATTTTATTTCATTGATTATCTTTGTTTAATATATATTATTCGGAATGTTCAAAAATGTGTCTCATTTATACGTGTTGCTCGTAATGGTTTATCATAATTCCTTGAACATTAATTAATTATATCCCGACTAAACGATAAATTATATAAACTTTTGATAAGCAAATGTCCAACGATAAAACATCAACTTTGAGAGCATAAACGTAGTATATAAGACATTATTCGTTTGTACAATCTTACGTTATGTAACTTAACTTCTATTTGAGTCTCACTACAATGTGTCATTCTTGTATATGGAATGAGTGAATAATAATATTTGTTTTGTTTTTAACTAATTAATATGAAATTTAAAGATGAAAGGCTTCCGATAATTCATATGAATTTTACCGTCTTATCTACAATGAAAATAAAAATCACAAAGTTGCCAGCTTCTTATTATTGTAAAATAACTGTTGAATCCTTTTGACAATTGTTATTTTCCTTGTTATGAAAGAAAAAAAACAAAAGACGATGTATGCTTAGTTGTTACGATACTGTTTCATTTAAAGATAATGTTAATTTGTATTTTTTAAAGCTTACAGAAAGGTGCGGAAAACCAGTTAATGAAGATTTGATGTAAACAAAGCTAAACATGTTACTTTTTGGTAAGATTTTTTTATTTTTGAATTTCTTTTAATACTTTTGTATGCAGTTTGTCTGCTTTAGTATTGCATTTGTTTTAAATTCATAAGAAACACATCACACGAAATAATACGAGCAAGCAAAATATCCATTCATCCTTATTAAAAAGTACTGAATTTTACAAAAACAACAACACAACTTTTTATTCATCGTTGGTGAAAATCATTTTTCTGGATACTTTTAATGTTCATCTTATACTAAATTATTTTAAAATCTTTCTTTTAACAGTTCGTAAAAAGAATCTCAAATGATAAATATGATATATCGATTCCTAAATGAATAATGTTAATATAGCAATACATTAAAACATGTCATATACATTGTAATTCTTAACGATGTCTTTAATGAAAATCACGTAGCGACAGCTTTAGTGAATATTTTTATCGATATTTATTAAGAATTTACGTAGCTGTACCTTTAATGAATGTTATGTAGATATTTTTTGAAGAATATCATATGTCGATACTTTAATGAATATTACATAACGATTTCGTTGATGAATGCTATGTAGCAATACTTCCAGTGAATGTCGTACAGCGACACCTAGAACATAAAATTCAAAAATCATGCATCAATACATTTATAATCTATACCAGAAAACATATACTAGAAAAACAAGTACTGGATAGTTTGCAATAATGAGGATTTTACATTCATAACGTTTCATAACGATAAATGTTCTCATTTTTTTCTTATTTTCAGGAACTACATTTGTTATCTTCATTTCGTTACTGAATATATTTCATGAAGGTTTGTAATTGATTTACTCCATGATACTTTTGATTGGTTTCAATCAGTTCCAATTTTTAAGTATATGTTAGTGTTTATTAATTGAAATTTCAATAATTAAGAACCCAAAAGGAAGTTATCGTTATGGAAGGGCAAAACATACTTTTTGTCACATTTTTAACAGCCTTGCTCAATCAGGAGTAAAACTTATGTCTTAATTGAATTTGGACATAAACTAACATGTATTCGATTGACAAAGGTATTGTTAAGGTCAGAAAATATATGCGTTTCTTCTTATTATCAAAAGTGTCTCACTGATTGAATCCATTTTTCTAAAACAGTTCTTTTACATGGACATAAGCAGTTAAAATCTTTTTAAGAAGTGTATATTTTCTACGACAAAATAATATCAAACATTTGAAATTTTGATCCATATCTTTTAAACGAAATAGAACATTGTCTTGTTTTATCAAGTATGTTCAAATCATGATCTTGAGTCGAAATTTGCACTGCCACGCCTCGGGGTTAACATGTAAGGGTAGCAGTAACTAGCGGTTAAGGTATCTGCCTCATAGAGCCCTTATTGGGTCAAGACCATGTTTCTTCATACGACACCAATACTGGTTGGTTCCAGAAAGCGGACTCAAAAGTGATTAATATAAGTTGCAAGAACTTGTTATTGTTAGCACGAATGATTATATATCATAAGACCCTATCAGCACACTGACCTTGTTATACTTAGTGCTTAATAATACAAGCAATTATCATAGTATTGCAAGCAATCCATAAGTCCCCTACCGGTAAGAGCCCAAACAACATTCTGAAGGGCCATTGGCCATTCACTTATGTTTCTATTTTAAGTAAATTTGTTGAAAAAGTTCTTTAAAAGTGATCACAGGAAACAGTTTTTATGTACAGACAGACAGACGGACTGAAGGACACTCTAAAGTTATTTTTTAAACATCCCTGTTATCAAAATATAACATTTTTAAAAGCAAAATTTTTAAAAAGGAGATAACGATGTCATACATGATGTGAGTGAACAAAGAACAATTAGTAATAGTTTTGAATTTGAAGTAAATGAAAGTTAAAAGAACGAATAGGAAAAATTAAAAGTTTAAGGAGGAGATAATTCTGGAAAAATGGATGCTAGAATTATAAACCTTGTCATATTATTATGATGTGGGAGGTTGAAGAAAATCCTATCATGATTGAAGAAGTTGGCGTAAAAATTACCAATTTCTCAAAAAAATGTCTAAGTTCAAAAGGGGCATAATTCTGGAAATAGTCTTGCTAGAGTATTGAACACTCACAAATGTTGAGTGATAATAAGAAACATTTATATGAAGTTTGAAGTAGATACATTCAGAAAAAAACAAGTTATTAAAAAAAAACAATGTTTTTTCATGAAAATTTTAAGTTCAAGGGAGGTTATTCTGATAAATTTTGTGCTAGAGTTGTAAACCTTGTCACATATGATGTGGTTGATGACTAGCAACTTATATTTAAAGTTTGAAGAAAATACCTTAAGAAATAAAGAACTTATAGTGAAAAAACTTAAAAACTAGAATCAGAAATCTTGAAATTCAGTCTATTTGTTGCCATAGCAACCAGAATTTTCAACATAGGAAGATAAGAAAAGACTGTGCATAATTTCCATCCTGCCATCTACCCATATGTCAAGTTTCATACAAATATTTTCAGTACTTTTTGCATTATCACTGGATCCAGGTTATGTGTAAAATTTGCCATATTTTCAGTCTATTTGTTGCCATATCAACCAAAATTTTCAGCATAGGAAAAAAAGAAAAAGACGTGCATAATCTCCATTTATTACGGAATGCCGTTAGGGCCATCGCCTATGAATGTATTGATCTAAAACGCGATAGTCGATAGTACGATGGTGAAAACGCGAAATCACGAAACTACGATGGTGAAAACGCGAAAGCACGATGATGAAAACGCGATAGTACGATAATGAAATCGCGACAATACGATACTACGATGATGAAAACGCGATAAACTATCGTGTTTTCACCATCGTACTGTCGCGTTTTCACCATTGTAGTTTCGTGATTTCGCGTTTTCATCATCGTACTGTCGAGTATCGCGTTTCAGATCAAACCATTCATAGGCGATGGCCCTAACGGCATTCCGGAATGCCGTTAGGGCCATCGCCTATGAATGTGTTAATCTGAAACGCGATAGTCGATAGTACGATGGTGAAAACACGAAATCACGAAACTACGATGGTGAAAACGCGATAGTACGATGATGAAAACGCGATAGTACGATGATGAAATCACGACAGTACGATGGTGAAAACGCGATAGTACGATGATGAAAACACGACAGTACGATGATGAAAACGCGATAGTACGATGGTGAAAACGCGATAGTACGATGGTGAAAACGCGATAGTACGATGATGAAAACACGACAGTACGATGATGAAAACGCGAAATCACGAAAATACGATGGTGAAAACGCGACAGTACGATGGTAAAAACACGATAGTTTATCGCGCTTTCATCATCGTAGTATCGTACTGTCGCGTTTTCACCATCGTACTTTCGCGTTTTCATCATCGTGCTTTCGCATCGTAGTTTCGTGATTTCGCGTTTTCACCATCGTACTATCGACTGTCGCGTTTCAGATCAACACATTCATAGGCAATGGCCCTAACGGCATTCCGTAATTTATTGGGTACTTCTTTTGTTTAAAAGTACCCAATAAGACAACAGAAGTACCCAACAATACTGACGGAATGAATAGAATTACCCAACAAGTGTCCATTCGTGTGTTCAAGGTACCCAACAAGTGTCCATTCGTGCGCCCGGACTGACGGACGGACAGACGGACGGAGGGTTAACCTAAAGTCCCCTCCGGAAAACCGGTAGGGGACTTATAATCGTGTTTAAATAAATATGTAACCTCAGGAAAACACTCTAAAATGTTCTACTTCAAAACCTAATTTATTGCTTAGATATTTTGTATATAGGATACAGAAACATAATTCTTCTCCGATCTAAATGTCTAGCGCTTAGATATTGGCGTTATGTCTAAGTTGTCCTTGTTCCCTTGGCCTACTTTTTTTGTTTTCAGCTATATTTATGAATTTTGACCTGACCGTATGTACCGTTTGAGAAGCAGAATTAAACTTAAATATAAGCTGACTTGCTTTGTTACATTGTGCCTGGTTTATTTTGATAATATTCTTGTCATTTAGAGCCTTAATATACATTGACTGATCTATTGTCGTTTTTTGATAGCATTTAAACACTAAGTATAACAAGGTCAGTGTCCTGATAGCGTCATATGGTATAATATCATTCGTGCTAAGTGGTCGACACTGTATTATATAATTATTGTTATTTTATCATGCAAATTAAGCGTATTCAATAATGTAATTGTATGGCAATTTTTTCTCTAATTTAAATAAATAAGAAACAAATCTCAATCTGCAAATAGTTACAAAGTATTTTCCTTTTTAGTTAGTGCCTTACCAACATTTTCGGATGTTTCTACACCAGCAGAGATATCCGTGACCACAGCGGATAAACATGAAGCAGTATCAACATCTTCAATTACTTTAACTATACAGGTTTCGGACACGACATCAATAGACACTGCTTCAATAAACATAACAGTTCCAGGTGAAACCAAATATTGATGATTTTCTTTTATTTCAAAACTTTTATTTTTTACATTTAAAATATTGTCATTATTAGTTAGGTAACCATAGCAAATGTAATAGCTTAATAGGTTTATTTTTATACAAATAATTTTTCAAATAAATATATTTTAATTTTGTGAATATCATTCTCATAAAAGATGAAAAGAGAAATTAATTTATCCCTGACCAAAACTTAACATAAGGTAATATCAAATGCATTATATGCAGTTTTTATTTAATAGTCGAATGTTAAAATTAACTTTTTTTTAATTTCTGGAGATCGTTACAATGTCAAATTTTTTGTACTTAAAACGTACTTCAAATTAATATGAGCAGACTCAATGGATCGGATGAATTTCATTTGACCTCATACTACATTATTGTTACAGATGACCCTTGTACACCAAACCCGTGCCAGAACTCGGGCACGTGCAGCCAGTCTGGAACATCTTATACATGTACTTGTCAGAGTTTCTGGATAGGGTTGAACTGCACAAGTATAAATATATATATTTTTTTAATTTTTGACTTGTATTCACTAAAATCGGCTTACTTGTAGGGGATGCATATTAAGCAGTACGATAGTGCAATATCTTTACAATTTTATTACGTTTTTGTCGCTTAAAGAGAAAAATAATCATAACATGACTTGTCTTATTATCTATTAGAATAGAAATTATTTATGCTTTCAATAAAGGACCCAAATGGCTTTTATGGTCATAGATGTTTAGTGTCTTGTTTCGTAAATTAGCTAATATCAAAAAAAATATTTTTCTTGATAAGATTTATGCCTTCTAGTTGCTAAACAATAGGAGTGGGTGTTAGAAATGTGGGCGAGAGCGAAAGGTTGTCGTTGACAGTTGCTTGAATTTACCAATACTGTTCATGAACAGGTTGATTTAAACAGAGCATGCAATATTTTGAATTTTACATGTAATTGGAAGTTCAATATTCTTTCGATTTTTTTTCACATTTCATTACTAAATAATTTGATCAATATCAACCCTGAAAGCGCACGAGAACTAAAAAATCACCACGAACCAATGCGATGTAGATGACCATAACATTGTCATAAGCCAATACTTGTATACGATACGATGCTAACTTAAACAGATAATTTGCCAGTAAGCCAAGAAAAAGGATGGTTCTGAGTTTCTTCTTTTCAGTTTACTTTTAACAATCCTCGTAGTTTGTTCATATAAAAGACAACAATTTCATGATGAAAATACAATCCGTTTATTATAAAGAGAACATGATATTCGTAAAGCTTTGTTATAAAGAAGAAACGAACATATGTATGAATTTGTCCCGAATGATGATATCATTCCTTCATTTTGCAGAAGAAGACAGGTCAGATGAAACTGAAATACCGGATGACATTATAATAGCAATCGGCTTCACTATGTTATGTCTTATCTTACTTACATCCGCCGCAATTTATGGCTTTTATAAATACTGGTAAGAATTTTTCGTTTCTTTTGCATTTGAAGTCTAGTGTCAATGATATTCCATGTAAAACAAATTTGAACGATGCGTCCAATAAATGTTTATTTCCAAACATTACATTAACTTTTGACATAAAATTTGTCGACTGACATTAACCTTAAATGTACTGTTTGTTGCGTCGTACTGCTAAAAACTGCAGGAATGATTAGTAAGTGTACTAAATCTAGTTGGGCACATCGTCCGCATTACGAGTGTGTTAACTGGCACATCGTCCGCATTACGAGTGTGTTAACTGGCACATCGTCCGCATTACGAGTGTTAACTGGCACATCGTCCGCATTACAAGTGTGTTAACTGAAAAGATGTGGTTTGAGACAATAATGCCGTTTGAACTTGAATCTTTATTCATTTAAAATATTATTATTTTGCTTAGTGTAACATCTTTTTAGACAAGACAATGTTTTGACATCAAATCATGTATATTTTGATTTCTAATTAGATTTTTATTTTATTTAACAAATACATAATCACAAGTAACTGTAAATGTCGAGATGAAAGCTTTTAACCGTATCCCCAAAAAAATCAAACAGTTAAAATAAAGGATAAATGACAGATTAGTTGATGAATTTACTCCAAGTCTAGTTAGTTTAAACAATATTTTATTTATAATCCATAATTTTTAATACATAATTTATAATACATAATAAATTACATGAAATAAATTTTACGGATTGAGTGGGAAGCTTGTAAAGCTTTTTTGAAAACTCTCTCCGTTGTCTAGTTATTACCTATTATGAATTATTATATAATATACTTATAAATGAAATATTAAGAAATATTGATGAAATAAAATGCGTATTTTCAATTTCCGTATTTTCACAGTAAAATTTATTTTTCACTGCAGTGAAAAATATTTTCTGTATTTTGACTGGTGTCTTGCCGAGCTTCTTTCTCCATATTTCATCCAATACACAAAATTAAAGAAGTCTTAAGAATGTCAAAAAAGTATATAATAAATAAAAAACTCATTTTTCCCATGAATACAGGATTTATTTTCATCTTGTCATATGAAAATTATCATATTTCATTCGTGATTACCGGCACTCGTGAAATATTAATTTTCATACCACTCGATGATAATAAATCCTGTATTTATAGAAAAAAACTTGAATATGCTCTACCAAATTTTGTGACCAAAATTTAAATATTATATTGTTATCAAAACATTACAGCAAACCTCGGAATAGAGTCAATCCGATAAAGGGGGAAGACATGTACTCCAAAGATTGTCGTGAACGGAAAGGTGATATTGAACAAGAGATATCTAGAGAATCTCAGAATCATAAAGAAAAGGACGTGGAGAGGAAAAACGAAAATAAGCATGCCACGAAACCTAGAAATAAAAATTCTTTAAAAAATACAAGTTCTGTGGTATCAAAGTATCAAAATTTCATTGGACAAATTATAAAAAAAATATTGAAAAAACAATGAACAAAGAACGGCTGAATAGATGGGCTGGATTCTGTTATCGTCACATTATGTATTGTTATTAAAAATATGTCTTTTTATCAGTCTTATTATCATGGATTGTTATATGATCATATAAAGCAGCAGGTCTACTCCAGATGGTAAAATAGAAAATAGAAGAAAGAAGTTTCTAATGAAAGGTAAATACTGGCCTATTTGGTATAATGCGAAAATTCTTTATAATCAACCTCTTAATTGAAAAGGTTAATAAAATTATTTACAAAATCATGATTTTTCTTTGCATAATTATAAACGCAAAAATAGAAGCCCATATAAATAGAGAAGATAATTTATTCATTAAAGTCATATGTCACAACTTTTGGGATATTTCAACCACCATCACATTGTACTATGAAAGAATTCCATGATATATTTAAATTATGTATTGCAAAATTCAAGCATTTGCTTTTTTTCATGTCAAATGAATAAACTGATTGATTTACTCAGATTACCCTTTGACACCAGTAGCCGACCAGCTTACACAACCATGCAGCCTGACCTGGCTCCATACTATACTAAAATTGGTTACAGGGATATTTAATATACCAATACATGTACATTGCGTTAACTGGAATGGATGATTATGTTAGCTTCTACTTGTATCATAGTTTGAAAAACATTTAAAGACCCATACATGCCCTTTCTATTACGTGTACATTGTACTTAACTTCAGAAACAATTATATTTTGTTGTTGAAATGAGTTTTATGTGAATAAAACAATTATTATTATCTTTAATATCCTATGCTCAAAACTAAATATTAATTGAAATAAGAATTAACCAATCGTTAAGTGGAACGCATGTGCCTTTCCTTTGATTTTAAACAAATCTACCAATACTAACAGAAGAGACTATCCTTTCGATTTTCTAACGTTCAATGTTATTAATTCAATTTTATTTGGGATTGAAATGATTAAATGCGTTTTAGGTTATTAAATAATTAAATGCATTTCGGATTGTTGAAATTTACTTTTAAAATTTCAGTTACAAGTGTCATGTAAGATATCTCACCATGAAATCAAGCTAACCAAGTTTCGGATAGCTCTAGTGCAGTGACTTCCTTTTGCCTGAACTGATACTGAATAATAAAATCACCATAAAAATAATCTTTGATTTCATTGGGTAAAATTGTTCATAACAAGCATTCTCTAAGGTGTTAAAATATAAGGGGAAAAACTGTGTCAGTTAGATGTTTATGATCCCGCCTGAAAACGCATGGATCAGTAATTGAAACGTCCCGCCAGTTTTTATCACCAGTAAAAGAAAAATACATGACAAAAAATCTTTCTGTCGTGTTATAGTGATAGATTATTGATATCCCAGACGTATCAAATATTCGTCAATGAAGATAATAAGTTTCGTTGGAAATTGGTTTGGTGTAAAACAAGTGCCAGTAGCAATGAGAACACTAATGTTATCTTATATATGTAAGAAAAAATTGTTGTCCTTCTGCACAGGTGCCATTGCATATAAATGTTGATGATTTATTCGACAAAAATACTAACACTGCTTCAGAAAAGGGTAATCATTAATTTTTGACACCAACACGATTGCAGAAAAAAGTGGCGAAAATATAAACCATATTAAAAAGATTATGGTTTACCAACACGGCAAAATGTTGCACACTCAGCTCGAGCAGAATTCTTACTTTATATATAGAAATAATTGCGATATTAAACAAGTATACACATCTGCATGTAGGGACATCATGGAACAAACATAGAATGATATATATGCCTTTTTCTCGAAGAATATGGTCCAACTCAAAACGAATGAGTTTTCGTTGTTAATATCAGATTCTATATCTAACTTGTCACTCATCTGCTTTATGATATTTGTAACACTATTCTTGTTTGTTTTCAATCAGTCATCTCTCTTGGATCCTAATTTTGTAGGATTTCCTTTACCTAGTATTTAAACAAAGGCAGCATGTGACTATGTATTATTGGCGACGCCGGTGAGCGGCGTCGTCTCTTATGGAATGCTTTTTATTTTGGCCTATGGAAGGAGCTGTTATTATTAGCAGTTAATGTCATGTTGTGTTAATTAGTTTAATTTTGATTCGTAAAAATCAAGTAAACAAATATGTTGTTATATTTGTATTTAATAACTTTATGTAAAAAGCATGTGCATTGTGATATTATTTTCACGAAATTGCAGGTTTAGTTTAACAGCTTGTCCCTTAGCTTTATTGGCAATACTAAAACCCGGATTTCGAATATCGTTGTGGTCTACACTGATGCCGTATTCTTTTTCATTTATTTATACATTTTCAAAATTTTTCTACATGAAGAACGTTTACCTGCAAATGAGTTGAAACTATTGTAAACGATTATCCTATTGATTTTATCCATATTACGTTTATCTATAGCACAGAATGATTGTTTTTACAAAGTGTACCAGTATCCGGATGTTGAAAGCTGTCCGATTTTCGGCAATTACTGCTGTCACATGGCCATCTAACTTTTTATGAATATTTTACCATTACTTTGCATGGCTTAATAAAACTGAGCCTGCAACATTTCATAATTTTGCTGTTTAGGGTGATCTTTTGGGTTTCAGGTTTTCTCTATTTTAATGTGAAGTAACTCATGTTTACTAAATTATTTGTTCTTTTTTGTCTATCTAAGGTATTACTTACTATTTTTGTTGTTTAAAATTTACCAGTCGTAAGGTCATCAAAGGCATAGAGGCCCTGAGGAGTAAATATTGATAGATTTTTTACTGGCTTTATATACCTTAGACTGGATTTTTCTAGTTTGTTCAGTTAGTACATACCTACAGTTATTCTGCTACAGGAATCTTCTAATCACTATGTAAAACTTATTATTATTTTCTATGTGTTTGTATATAAATTGTTAATAAAATACCCTTTGGTAAAAATGAATGTTAGAAAATTATGGTGCTCATGTCCATATATTGAAATAGAGAAAGGATAACATCCTGAAGTTATCAATTTTAAACACTTGATATACAATGTATATGCAGTTAGTTATATAGTAAAGTATAATGACACAGTATTTGTTACTGTAAGAGATATGCATTTAATGGTTAGACACTCACACAACTCAATCTTTATTATATATTCAAAATCAAGTAGAAAGAAAACTATAATGTATAAACTCTATTATAGATACTATTATTAGCCAGCTAGCAATGGGTATAAACACCTTTAACCTGTAGACTAATCATTACATGTATTATCATTTATAAATTTAAATGCAAGTCTCATCCATCATAACTGTAAGTCTTAAATACAGAAATATTGTAAGTCACATTATATTCATATACTAAGATATACATATATGCACATAACATTAATAATTCCCAGTTTCCATTAAAATAAATATAACATCCTATTAGCATTGGTACTTGGATGGAGTTAATAATATTGTAGAAAGAAAACTATAATGTATAGTATAAAAGTAAAAAAAAATCTCAAATAGTCTAAATCATTCCATCCATTAGTACCAATGTTAATGTTTATGTTAGGATTTCATATTTATTTAATAGAAACTGGGAATTGTTAATGTTATGTGCATACATGTATATCTTAGTATATGGATATGATGATACTTATAATTAGAGTTAGAGTTATGACATTATTATTAAAGTGATGGAGGACTTTCATTTAAAGTTATAAATGATAATACATGTATTGATTAGTATACAAGTTAAAGGTTTATAACCAGTGCTAGCTGGGTAATAATAATATCTATAATAGAGTTAAAGGAATCTTAGCCTGGATGTTGTGGTTTATCTTCTGAACTTGTGAGATTTGGCAGGTTATATAATGAACTATCCAGAACTGAGGTTTAATAAGTGTCCATTACTAATGATGGCAGGGTTCATGGTGCAATTCCACCGGACAGCTGCATGGCAATATAGATATATATTCCACACTCTCTGCACTAGTAGGTCAGTACTGGTCTTTTAAAGGAAGAAAATGTCCTTAAACTTGGATCAAGCAATATAATGTATAAAGTCTAAAAAAAATCACATTCTGAATTGTTATTCTATTTTTCTCTCTAACATTTGCATAGTTTGAAAAAGACAGCTTCTGTCTTATAAATTTGTAATGGAGGGACATCGGTCTCAACCTCCAGGTCTCCAGAGTCAACCCAACTACAGACTTTTCATAGAGTAGATATATTGGAAAATATGTTGTGGTTTAGAACTGTTCATTATTAAAGAGAAAACGTGTAGCCGGCCGGATAGCTCAGTTGATCTTCTGACAGTCATGGGTTCAAGTCATGGTCAAGCAGTTTCAGTCAGGGTTTAGAAGTGTTTTTTTCAACTGTCATTTAACACATTGTATTAATTTTAAAATGGACAAAGGCAGTAGTGTATGCATGATACTTTTAGAAAAGGCATTTGATACAGTTGATCACACTATACTGCAGATGAAGAAGTTCTTCTTCTTCTTCTTCTTCTCCATGAAATTTCTAGCATCTGCCATAGGTAATGACATTCTTACATGGTTCAAGTCTTATTTCTGATAGACAGCAGCTGGTGGATATGGCTGGTACTCATTCTACTACTGCTCCGAGTACCAATGGTGTTCCCCTCAGGTTCATTTTAGGTCCTCTTTTATGTCTAATATATGTCAATGACATGTCTACAACCCTAAGCAATAAGCTTTTATTATATGCTGATGACTCAGGTATCCTTGTTTCTGGTAAAATAAATCTGAAGAAATTCTCTCTTATGACATAAGTCTTATTAGTGATTTGTTAATTGACTAAAAATTGTCTTTGCATCTTGGCAAGACAGGACCTATTCCTTTTGGTTTAAGCTTCTACTGAAACTGGACCTAGCCTCCAGGTCACATGTAATGGTACTGCTATAAAGTACACATCTTTTGTTAAGTATTTAGGTGCAAACCTTGATCATTTTTTTGCGTCGCCTTTGATGCTTTGCATCAATGCTTTTCTTGTATATCAGTGTAGCAATTTGATAGTCACTCAGCCAATTTGCATAAATGTAAAACAAAACTTGAAAAGGTCCATTGGTTCTATTTAGTTCCATCAATGTCATTATGAAGATGGCTACACAAGTGTCTCTTATTCTAAGGGGTTTATCAAGCTGATGTTGACTACTGATGACGGACAACGAATATCAGACAGACGTCATGTTGATCAGACGATATAAGGACTTTTCAAACCGGTGCTGGAGGGCCGTTCTAACTATCCGATAGATAAACACATG